ATTCTATTGTTTTCTTCTATTTCTTTGCACTGTTCATTTGAGAAGGCCTTCTTATCTCTTCTAGCTGTTCTTTGGAATTCTGCATTCAGTTGGGTGTATATTTCCGTTTCTCTCTTGCCTTTCGCTTCCCTTCTTTCCTCAGCTATTTGTAAAGCTTCCTCAGACAGCCATTTTGCTTTCTTGCTTTTCTTTTTCTTTGGGATGGCTTTAGTTGCTACCTCTTGTACAATGTTGCGAACCTCCATCCATAGTTCTTCAGGCACTCTGTCTATCAGATCTAATTCCTTAAATCTATTTGTCGCCTCTATTGTATATTCCTCGGGAATATGATTTAGGTCATACCTGAGTGGCCTAGTGCTTTTCCCTACTTTCTTCAATTGAAGCCTACATTTTGCAAGAAGAAGCTCATGATCTGAGCCACAGTCAGCTCCTAGTCTTGTTTTCACTGACTGTATAGAGCTTCTCCATCTTTGGCTGCAGAGCACATAGTTAATCTGATTTCTGTGCTGACCGTCTGGTGATGTCCTTGTGTAGAGTCGTCCCTTCGGTTGTTGGAAAAGAGTCTTTGCTATGACCATCGTATTCTCTTGACAAAATTCTCCCAGCCTGTGCCCTGCTTCATTTTGCACTCCAAGGCCAAACTTGCCTGTTATTCCAGTTATCTTTTGGCTTCCTACTTAAGCATTCCAATCCCCCATGATGATAAGGACATCATTTTTGGTGTTATTTCTAGAAGGTGTTGTACGCCTTCATAGAATTGGTCAACTTCAGCCTCTTCAGCACCAGTGGTTGGGGCACAGACTTGGACTCCTGGGATGCTGAATGGTTTGCCTTGGATTTGAACTGAGATCATTCTCTCATTTTGGAGGTTGTATCCCAGTACTGCTTTTCCTACTCTTTTATTGACTGTGAAGGCTGCTCCATTTCTTCTGAGGGATTCTTGCCCGCAGTAGGATACCTGATGGTCACCTGAATTAAATCCACCCATTCCTGTCCATTTTAGTTCGCTGATTCCCAAGATGTTGATGTTCAGTCTTGTCGTCTCTTGTTTGACCACGTCCAGCTTGCCTTGATTCATGGATATTACATTCCAGGTTCCTGTGGAGTTTAGATCTTTGCAGCATCGGGCTCTCCTTTCACCACCAGACACATCCGCAACTGAGTGTCCTTTCGGCTTTGATCCAGTCGCTTCACTCTTTCTGGCGCTACTAGTACTAGCCCTCTGCTCTTCCCCAGTAGCACATTGGACACCCTCCAACCTGAGGGGCTCATCTTCCGGCATCATATCTTTTTGCCTTTTGGTACTGTCCATGGGGTATTCATGCCAAAGATACTGGAGTGGGTTGCCATTTCCTTCTCCAGTGGATCACGTTTTGTCAGAGCTTTCTGCTATGACCTGTCCATCTTGGGTGGCCCTGCATGGCAGAGCTCATAGCTTCACTGAGCTACGCAAGCCCCTTCGCCACGACAAGGCAGTGATCCATGAAGGAGGGGGCCCTCATTACAGGAAGGATATAGCCTAGCCAGGTTAGAGTCAGTGCAGCGAAGGGCCACAAGGTTGGTGGCCGGTTTGCAGGGGATGCCGTATGAGGCGAGGATGAGGGAACTGGGTCTCTTCAGCCTGGAGGAGAAGAGACTCAGAGGGGATCTGTTGGCGACATACAGGCATGTGAGGGGGTGTCACACGGAGGTGGGCAGAGACCTGTTCTCCCCTGCAGAGGGAGGCAGGACGTGCTCCAACAGAGCCAAGGTCAGGTCCCATTTAGATGCCAGGAAGCACTTCCTAACAGTCAGGACCCCGAGGGTGTGGACTGGGGTTCCCTGGGAGGTGGTTGAGGCCCGATTGGTGAGGGTGTTCAAGGATGGACTGGACATGCACATGGTGGGCACATCATGAGCAGAGCTGGCTGGAGCTGGGGTCAGACTAGATGGCCCTGGAGGCCCCTTCTGACTTGCTCTGTTTCTATGTTCCTGTCCAGGAGGGCCCAGATGCCCCTGAGAATGTGTTGCTGCCTGTGCTCAGGGGACGCAACCCTTTGGGGTCATTTGTCAATCCGAGGAGCTGTGGGCACTGCCACAGAATAGCTGCCATGGCAGGAGTGGCAAAGCAGGAGTGATCTGTCCGAAGATGATGAGAATGTATCTGCTTTCTGACTGGACTGTTGGTTTGCTGCTGGTTCAGTGCTATATCGTTTTGTTGGTTGTTGCTTTATTGGTTATGCCAGTGGTTTTCTACCTTTCCACAGCTGGGGAATGGCAAAAACAGGAAAACCACCACCAAGGCAGAAGCAAAAAGCACCATGCACGCAATGCAGTATTTTGTGCATTAGATTCCAAACACAACTCCAGAAAAATGAAGATTTTCCAAAACAACCAGAAACTGAGCAACGGAAAATGCCAAAGAACAAAATAGCAACATCATAGAACAGAGAAACAGAGCAAGTCAGAGGGGTTTCCTGGGCCATCTAGTCTGAGCCACAGCTCCAGCCGGCTCCGCTCATGAAATTGGTGAGGCATGACTCCCACCGAGCTCTTCTCCCTGGTCTCCCCGGTGGTGCCAGTGCACTCCCTGTGAATGTGACACCAACCAAGGAAGAGGTGGTGGAGCGCAGCCAGCCCCTGCACCGGCATGTGGCAAGCAGGATGCGGCCCTCCCGCAGACCTGCAGGAAATCTCCCATGGACCAGCACTGGTCCCCAGACTGGTGGTTCAAAACCACTGGGTTGAACTGCGTTTGTTTCCTTCTGTTCTATCCATATGGTTGCAAAGCTCAGGGAGCCAAGGTTCCGTTTGGATGCCAGGAAGCGCTTCCTGACAGTCAGGACCCCGAGGGCGTGGAATGGGCTTCCCCGGGAGGTGGTTGAGGCCCCATCGGTTAGGGTGTTCAAGGAAAGGCTAGACATGCACATGGTGAGCATGTCGTGAGCGGAGCCGGCTGGTGCCGAAGGTCAGACTAGATGGCCCAGGAGACCCCTTCTGACTCGCTCTGTTTCTGTGTTTCTATTTATATTGCATTTTAACCCTATCATGTTTTAAGATTTTGGTCATCATTGTTACTTATTTTTATTTGTGCTTTTATGTGGTGCTGTGAGCCACCCAGACAGCCTTTCGCTATGGGGCAGCATACAAATGCAATAAACAAACAAACAAACAAATGCCCGGATCCCCTCCCCACTAGAGCCCCTTCTGCATCCATGCGTTTCCGCACCAGCAGAACGCTGTTTCTGCAGCAATCCCAGCTGCAAGGAAGACAGCGTGGCTTTTCCCCTTGAGCAGGCGGATCTGGGCCCACGAGCAAGAGCCCAGAACTGTGTCTGGGCGCGCCAGCATCTACGCACACCACATTGCTGAGCTGCTCTCCTCTGGAGCTAGCTCAGTGCAGGGGACAATGCTGCACAGAACCAACAGCCCCTGGTTCTAGTCTTCAGCATCCGACTGCTGGTTCATGTTAGGTATTTCCCGAGCAAATTAAAACATGGTGGAACTGATCCCTCTGCACACAGGCGCTTCAGGCACCTGGATACGCACTGTGCAGATCTGAGCCACGCGCGACACCAGGAGCTTGTCATAGAATTCAAATTCAACAGCTGTTTCGGTGAAGAACACATAAATTTTGTCAGCGCTCGTGTCACTGTCCTGTACAAGATCCATATGAATGAACGTGGGCTCTGGAACAGACAAAGGGGAGCAGGAGTGTGGAGAAGAGGCCGTCTGTCTCATTTGCTTTTTCGAAAAGAGATATGGAGATTTTCTAACAGTCTCGGCTGCAATTTAGACATTTTCACCCACCTTTCTAGAAAATGCTCAGGCAAAGTGCAAAGAGCAACAGGGAGAGCCAGAAAACAAGTGTGGCAGGCCCCACCGGGTGACTTGCACAAGTCATGGGGGTGGCAGGGGGCAGACAGTCTGAGCCACCTGGGGGGAAGGCTTGCATGGTAGGAGAAGTCATGCTGGGGGCTGGACCCCAGCAGTGAGCTCCACGGGGTGCTTCCCTAGCCTCTCTACCACAGCTGCCAGCAGGGACTGGGTTCCTTGGGACTGGGGACACCTGCTTTCCCAGCCATCCCCACCTGCCAGGATCATACAGGTGGCTACAGGAGCCTTTGCCATGTCTTACAAACAGGCCTGAACCCAGGATGCAACCACGCTAGAAAGACGTGGATGGCTCCAACCCAGCAGACCAGAACCAACCCGGAAGTGTGTGCTGTGGACCGAGGAGCCCTCCCTCCCTGTGGAAGCCCACTTGGCTGATTTCTCCCTGTAACGAGCATAGCAGCAGAATTGGAACCCCATCCTCTCAGGAATACAAGCCTTAAGCTGAATTGGTCCCTCTAAGGCTGACCCGCAGCCGTGCGATTCCTAAGGCTGACCCGCAGTCGTGGCTGTCTCAGCGTTGGGCAGGGTTTGCCCCCAGCCCTGGCTGGAGCTGCCTGTACGCAGAGCGGTGAAAGGGGTACTGCATCCCCCCAACTCTCCAGCAAAGGGAGGCACGGCACGATCCATTCTGGGCCATTCTGAGATGGATGCGGGAGCACTGGAAGGTGCCTTCCATGGGGTCCGCCTTGCCTGGCTTGGCAGATGCTGGCCAGATCCTCCAGGCATGATCAGGGAAAATGAAAAGTGTGTGCAAATGAAAATGCGGGACCTGATATTTTAAGTCTTCTGTTCATGTTTGCGTGGCCCCCTTCTTTCCGAAAACTTCATTCTCAAGGTAAGTGCTTGGTGGGCGAAGGGCAAAAATCTCCAAGATTAACATCAGGCATTCAGCAATACATGGGAACCTAGATTAATCCTTCGTCGGAAGGACAATTTGTTATCACTCCAGCTAAATGAGAGCATTTTTGCCTTCTTTTGAATAAAGGGGCTGTTTATAGAAACTAATTAAATTCCCTTGCATCTCCTTTCTGTTGCTGTGAAGCGGAAAGCATAAACCTCTCCTGCTGGCATGCAAAATTAGTGAAAAATAGGCCTGTCAACAGATTAAAGGACTTCATTTATGGATTAATTATCTGATTTTGAAGCAATTAATCCAATGCAATACGTTTACAAATTACAGACCGTCAGCAGCAAAGCCCTCTGGGAGGACCCCGATAAGTTAAAATTTAATAATGGAATTTAATAACCCAAACATGCCACTTATTGTCAGGAGTGAAGGACATTTATCTTGCGCTGCGCTTGTGGACACGAAGCCTGCGATGCGGATTGGCTGGGATGCTGTGATCGTGCGGCACGTTCGGGGGCTCAGGCAACGAGGTGATGGGCAGTGCAACCTCTGTGAGGCATGGGGAAGTTGTTGGCTCGGCTGGGCTGAAAGCCGCACAGGGGCGGCCGGAGCAGGTGCCTGGGGATGCAGGGAAGTGAAGCGCCAGGCAGCCCAAAGGCTGGGGAGGAGGCAGTGCTCCATGGAAGGCAGAGACGGCAGGGAAGAGAGTTAAGAGGGACCGCTTGAGAACGGGAGGGCACATCGTGCGAGGGAAGGATGTCATGGAGACAGGCGGAAGAGCAAAATGGGTACTGCAAGGGGGGCAGACTGGGCAGTGGACCAAAGCCAGGCATCTTATGGAACAAATGCAAGGGGAGACAGGAGGGGAAAGTCTGCATTTGGGGGAGGTGCCAATGCTTCCTGTGCAAAAGAGACCGACTCACAATCCTGAGCCTACGTTAAGGAGTCGTCAGAGCCTTTGGGGCACCAGGAAACCCGAAGTTGCAGGCCAGGGGACAAAGGGCTGAAGGCAAATGGGTGCCTACAGGTGAACTAACACGCTAGCCTTGATTCATTTCTTTCTCACACTCTACCTCATCAGCCTGGTGCTAATTCTCTCCTAAGATGTCCCGCCTTCCGTCCAGCAAAGGATGCACGGAAGCTGAAGTTTGCTGTACAGCCAACACTTTGCATGAAGGAAAGTGCAAGGTCCAGGCCTGGGGAAAAGCCCCTGTGGGCCAAGTGGGTCCATGCTCAGCACGAGGAATGTTTGCATGTCCACCTTGTGCAAGCAAGAGAAGCCAAGCCAGTCCGGCCTGCGCAAAATCTTGAGGATACAGGAGAGCGCTCCTCATCTGCTGGCTTCATGGCCATTTTTACAGGAAGCAGTTCTCTGCTCTGTGCATGCACACACACGCACACGCTGAACATACAAATGGTAGCAGAAGTGGGCTGTGGTCACAGCAACAGTTTATAGGGCAGGCAGCTGTCTTCAACTCTGCGTCCTCTGGGTGTGTCAGACTACAGCTCCCATCTCCCTGCTGGCTATGCTGGCTGGGAATGATGGACCAGGCAGTCCAACGCAGCTGGAGAGAGCTAGGCTGAAACAGGGGCCGGGGCAGACCTGCGAGTACCTCCTGAATCTACATGACCAAAACCTGAACCCTTAAAGCGCTGTTTTGCGCTGTGCTCAATATTTCTCCCTTCCCTCCTGGAATAAACCCACAGATGTAAAAAGGAAGATGCTTCTTTTTGGTGATCTGCTTATTAAGGAAGCCTTGCGTGTCATTTTTGGCTTTCTTGTCAGATGCCTCAGCAGCTCACACTCTCTCAAGTTGGTGAATTTAATTGCATGTTAAGGGTTTCCTAGAAGGCAAGATGCGGTGTTGGGTGATGTGATCTCAGGGAAGACTGCCCAGAAAAAGAGGGGGGTGCCCCCCGCTCGTCTAATTGGTGACATCTGCCTGCCAGAGGGGTTAGAATGAGACACAAAGTGCCTTACCATTAAGCCAAGATGCTTTAAACTCTGTCCGTAAAGGATTCTTCAAACTGCGTAGTATAATGGGCTCCGTACCCAGGAAGTTGTTTGAAGTGGCTGAATAGAGTGAACCTTCTGCTCAGGGAAGCAAGAAAAGGGGGATTTTTTTTTTTATTTCTGCCAAAACCTGCAGAATGATGCAAGTGCATTGATGTGTACAACAGGCCCAGGACTATCTATAGAAGAACCAGAAAGAGGACAGAGAAGTGAGAGATGCAATCACACACTGGGCCCAAAGCGAAGGCCCTCTCAGCTCAGAAATGAGAATGTTAGGTTGAGGCTGTGATGGACATTGTGCCATGCTCAATGTGGTGAAGTTGCGCAATGGCCAAAAACTGCTTGGTTGCAATTCTTCATCCATGCACTCACACTTTCCCTGGATCTTCCAGGCCCAAATGCAGGCAGGGGGATGGAATGCCCCGGCAGTCCCGGCCTTGTTTTTATTTTGCAAAGGAGGGGTGTCTGATTGAGTGCACCCATGTCTGTTTGGGGCTTGAAACCTTGATAGCATGCGACTCCTCCTCCTCCTTCCAGTTGATGCCCTGTCATGTGCCTTTTGCATAGGAGTGAGGGCAAGGAAGATAAGGAGCTGCTTCGGTTCTCCTTGCCCTCCCCAGGCAGGTTGGGCCAAGGGATGAGGCTCCAGGGATTGGGCTGTGGCAGCAGCCACAAAGAGGAGAAAAGGAAGCCGCACCTGCGGGGTGGGGGGTGAGGGCATCTTTCTCTGTTTCCCTGCAAACCTGATGCTGCTGACAATGCAGCATCTTGCATTGCAAAGGTTTTTGAAGAAATAAGGCAAAGTGCCGGTCAGATGAAATGCGCACACACATTCAGTTAAGCAGGGCTCTTCAAAGCAACCCTTCGTAAGCAGACTAAACACCCAGATTTAAAAGGGCACATCCATTGTCATCAACTAATTGCAAGCAAGGTTCCCTTCCCAGGGAGGTTAGGTAGGCACCATCATTATCCATTGTTAGATAGCTGCTGAAAACCACGTGCTTTTGCTGAACCTTTAACGATAAATCCCACGCATTAATTCTTTGAAGTCCCCCTTGCTGTATAGCTATGTGCGTATCTTAACTGTTTGGTTTCAGGGTTTTTCGGAATTGTTGTGACGATTTTTGTTTTTAAATCACTTGGCACGTTCACTGACTGGAAGAAAGGCATCAGATCAAGAGAGGAATAAGTGCAAGTGTTGGCATAACAATGGTGGAGTCCCTTGTGCTTTTTTCGTTTTAATGAATTTGGGTTTGAAAGACTAAACAACATGGACATGGGCTAGATCCTGCCTGCTTTTCAACTGAGATCTTAAGCAACTAGGAAGAAGAAAAGAAGCAAGACTCAAGAGGCGGGTGAAGAAAAGCTTAAATGCCATTAGCTATCAGTCTCTCCCACCCCCGCCCCAAAACCCCCAGTCCATATCAGCTGGCCAGTGGGGGGAAAACTGTGTGGGTAGATCAAACAAAATATTAATTTCCAAGCCAGTCTTTCATTCAGGGCCTGAAAGGACATATCAGGTTCAAAATATACCCAGACACCTAATTTGAGTAATTAGCACTTGGCAGCCGTGACTAAGTGGGAAAGATATTAGCTCTTTGCAGGGCAATGGGAAAACTTACCAAACATTAAGGAGGCGTAGCTCCCAGTAGGTTCAAAGGGACACTTTCCTCTGCCATCGGCGGCTTTCCTCTGCAGCTGAAATGTCTTATTGTTGATGACCTGTTTTAAATCAAATCAATAAATCCCCCAATAAGCCTAGATTTCAGTTCAAAGAGGGCTTCTCTTCAACTCAGAGCAGGGCCCCTTAGCTAGGTCACTGCAAGGCCTGCTCTGAACATAGGGAAATTCTGTCATGGCAACCAGGCTTTGGGGGAAACAACACTTAATTCTGCTTTTATTTCTGTTTCAGCTGCTTCTGCCCCCAGGATTTCCAAGCAGTTTGTATAAAAATGCAGCCACAGTACAATCCTGTATATCGGGATCATTCATTTCCTGGGGGTGGCAGACACCTCCCTGGAACATTACCAGCATCTATTTATTTATTTAAAACTCTTCTTTACTGTCCCATACTTAGATGGGATGGTTTTCAACGAATTAATTCCAAAAATAGAAATAAAAATAACAGTTGCCCAGCATCCAATGTTAAAATATAAACCGACTAAATAAAATAAGTTAACAAATAAAATGCTGGAAAAATAAAAATATTTTCGCCTGATGACAAAAGGAAAGAAGCGCTGGCGCCAGGCAAACCTCTCCGGGGAGCGTGTTCCACAATCGGGGCACCACCACAGAGAAGGCCCTCCTCCGGGTAGACACCCTCTTGATCTCTTCCAAGGACGGCTCCTGGAGGAGGGCCTCAGCTTCAGATCTCAAGGGGTGGGAGGGCACATGGGAGAGAAGGCGCTCCTTCAGGTATCTGGGACCCAAGCTGTTTAGGGCTTTATAGGTCATTGCCGGCACCTTAAATTGGGCCTGGAGTTCAATTGGTAGCCAGTGTAGATGATAGAGGACCGGCATTATATGTGAACACTTGCCAGTCCCTGTTAATATTCTGGCGGCTCTGTTCTGAACCAAATTAAGTATTCGGACCATCTTCAAGGGCAGCCCCAGGTAGAGAGCATTACAATAATCCATTCGGGAAGTTACCAGAGCATGGGTCACCGTTGCAAGGCAGTGCTCATCCAGGTAAGGGCACAGTTGGTAGACCAGCCGAAGCTGGAGAAAGGCACTCCTCGCCACCGCTGTCACCTGGGATTCCAGGGGCAGCTCTGGATCGAGGACCAATCCCAAGGTGTGGATGCTGTCCTTTAGGGGGAGTGATTCTCTGTCCAGGACAGATCAAAATCACTTATGTGAATACCTGAACCGCCCACCAACAGGACCTCCGTCTTATCTGGATTGAGCCTCAATTAATTGGCCCTCATCCAGCCCATTTCCCCAGCCAGGCACTGGTTAAGGATGGCCACTGTCTATGAGAGATCTCTCTCCCTTTACATGGGCAGTGATGGCTGTCCTTCAGTTCAATTCCCATCATCCCCAGAAGGGACTGGGAAAGACCTCTGCTTGGCACCCTGGGGAGACACTTGTAGCCCAATTAAGAATAAGGTCTTTCTTGGTGGTGGCACCCTGTGAGTGAAAGGATCTCCCTGATGCCAGCCAACATTGCCAGCTTCTTTGGTGCTACCTTAAGGCCTCCTTTTCTCACCTGTGTTAGAAGCAGGTCTTGGGTCTTGTCTTGTCTGTAGTTTTAGATCTCTCTCCCCCTCCCTGTGTGTGTGTGTGTGTGTGTGTTGTATATGTTTATATACAATATATACAATATACGCATACACTGTATGCATACAGTGTTTATATTTTTAAGCATTTAAGCTTTGCAAGTTGAGTAATACAGAAATGCAATAAATGAAATACATAGAAATAGCTGCGTTGCAAAGACAGTTCCATCAATATGGAACTACTTGGAGGAGGGCCTTCTCTGTGGTAGTGCCCAGATTGTGGCATGCGCTTCCCGGAGAGGTTCTCTGGGCACTGAGTTTATATTCTTTTCAGCGCCAGGTTAAAACCTTTTTATTTAATTGTTATTTTAAAAACTAAATGTTTAACAGTCGCTTTCATTTAATGTATTTAACTTATATTTTTGGTTAATTGTTATTTATTATATTAAGATGGTTGTTTTATTGTGTTTTAGTTTTAATGATGGAAAGCCGTCCTGAGGTGCCATGCATAAGGGACGACATAGAAAAGTTTTAAATAAAATAAATAAATAGGGGAGAAACTTCGAACAGACAATGCCTACAGCTGCCTGCATTCTCCAGGCAAGCAGGCCAGCTGTGGAATACTGGCAGGCCATGGGCGTTTTTCCTGTCTGAGCATGTACAGATTGCCCTTTCAGAGATTTTAAAGGCACAAGCAGGGAATGTACGACACTCCAGAGGGTGTTGGACCCCTGCTCTCACCAGCTCCTGCCAGCACAGCCCATTGTCAGGGAAGATGGGTGCTGAAGGCCAGGCTCTTCCCGCTTCCAGCTTTTAACAGATGAGTGCATAGCGTTATACTGTACCATTGGGATTAGCAGGGAGAGAAGGTATGATAAAACACCCCATGGAATCTGTTGTATGCACTTACCATGTAATGCCGGCAAGCTGGATGAAATGCGTTTGTGCCACAAATGTATAAGCCGGTTGTATTTATCTTGTGAAGGACACGGATGTAATTGTGGCATTCGGCCTGAAAAATGCACACACAACACACTTCATTTACACAGGTCGTCAGTTCTGCTCTGCAGCATATAAAACTGTTTTGCTGCAGAAGGGCAACCAGCCGGCCCGCTTTTATAAACTCCATAGAGAGGAAATGGAAGTAAACCTCTGAAAGAACATAGGGTACAACAGAAGAAACCCTCTACAAGAATTGTGCCAATAAGCCCCCCGATGAAAACCTTTTTCCACACAATCCACCTGACAGGATTTCCCAGCATACCCTGAAATTTTGCTCTGCATCTCACCTTTTTTGGGAGAATTCCAAAAGCAGTTTGAGTGACTGAATGCCTACGTGGGTGGATGGGTGGGTGAGAGGGATGAAGAGGTATATTTGCTACTCGTGTGGGATAAAAATATCCCACATGCCACCAGCACCTCCCTACTGGGATTATCCGATTTCTGGGCCAGAAAGAAAAGATTGTTCTCTGGGCTTTTCTGCGTGAGTCTGTCGGTTTCATTGCTGAATAGTAGTGCTACATGCGGCGTGTGGCACCGTGGCGCACTCGACGAGGATCTTCCGCATGAAAAGCAGGGGTTCTTGCCTCCTGGGAAGGTTGTCACTGTCTTGCCACATGCAAAACTCTATGTGGGGCTGCCCTTGAAGACAGTCCGGATACTTCAGATGGTGCAAGATAGAGCAGCCAGGTTGCTGACGAGGACTGGGTGTTATTCTCACATAACCCCAGTCCTCTACCAGCTTCACTGCCTTCCCATTGAAGTCTGGGCCCAATTCAAGGTGCTGGTTATCACCTATAAAGCCCTAAACGGCTTGGGTCCTGGTTACCTGAAGGAGCGCTTACATCCATATATGCCCAGCCGCCCCTTGAGATCGGCAGGAGAGGCCCTCCTCCGGGAGCCCTCTGTGAAGGACATTAGGAGGGTGAGTACCCGGAGGAGGGCCTTCTCTGCGGTGGCGCCCCACCTATGGAATGCGCTCCCCAGAGAGGCCCGCCTGATGCTGTCGTTATTTGTTTTTCGGGGCCAGGCCAAGACCTTTTCATTCAAACAGTATTTTAATAATGTTTAATATTTATAGATTTTAATTGTGCAGCCAGTGTGTTTCCGGGTTTTAATTGTAATTGTTATTATGTTGTATTTATTTATTTCTGTAAGCCGCCCTGAGGCTATGTAGCAAGGGGACGGCATGTAAAAACTTTAAATAATAAATAAATAAATAAAGCTGGGATCCAAGTGAGCCTCTGTGGGAAGGGCTCACAACTCATATGGCTACTAGAATAGCATTTTATTGGTTTTCGGCCAAAAATGACAGCCGGGGTAATAGGAGAGCCGGTGTGGCTCAAGAGACTGGGGATGCTAGTCCCCCCCCCCCCCGCCCCCCAGCCACAAAGCTCACTGGATCACTTTGGGCCAGTGCCTGGCTCTTGGGCTAGCCTATTCCACAGGGTTGTTGTGAGGATAAAATGGAAAGGAGAAAGACCACGGTGTGAGCTTCCTTTGCGTTGCTTTTCGAAGAAAGGCAGGATAGAAGTATGGTCTTAATAACTGTAATGAGAATTTCTAAAAGCTTTTCCTCAGTGAGTCAGTATTTCAGCGACCTTGGTAGACCCTTTCTCTGGGAAGTTATTATTATTATTATTAGAACATTTCTATGCCGCCCCTTGCCAAAGCCTCGGGGCGGCTTACAACACAATAAAATACAATACAAAAATAACAATATAAAATTAAAATTAATAATATAAAATAAATAAAAATATAAACGATATAAAAGAAGTTAGAAAAGTTATAAAAGAAAAGAAGTCGCCCTGGCCAGATAAATAAGCAAATATTGTTAACAATTAAAGTGACGTTTAAATAAAAAGGTCTTCGCCTGGCGCCGAAAAACAAATAACGACGGCGCCAGGCGGACCTCTCTGC